ATATGTATATATATATATATATATATATATTAGAAATTTAAATGCCTATTACAGTCAAAGCTGGATCTTCTTTGTTTTAAAATAATTAAATCTTGAATTACTAATATATACTATACAGGGGATCTCATTTTAAATGATCCAGCCAAAGGGTGGCACCCAATTGGACACGGCTCAATTGGACACGAGCCACTCACAGCGCTTGAGACTACAAAGCTCCTAAGCATCGGTCGCTGCGATTGGTGGTGTCCAATCGAGCCGTGGTAAATCGGGATCACCCCCAGCCAAATATCTCGAAAACTAAACCCAGTAGACAAAAATGTTTCAGACAAAAGATATTTGACTCGAAGGGGGACATAAGATGGTGCCATCGATTTGACCTTCGATAGTCCTCTGAAGGTCACGTGGAGGTCACCTTTAATTTATTAAATGGAAACCCTTATTCCTCATTGCACATTCTTACAGTTCATCTCGAGAGCTTTCCAAAACACTATAATTAAGTTACTTTTCGTTAAGTACTAGTTAAGTTATAAAGCAAGATCGGGACTGACCCGGCCGATTAAAGCAATATCGAGACTGATCCGGTCGACTAAAGCAAGATCGGGGCTGATCCGGCCGACTACAGCAAGATCGGGGCTGATCCGGCCGACTAAAGCAAGATCGGGGCTGATCCGGCCGACTAAAGCAAGATCGGGGCTGATCCGGCCGATTAAAGCAAGATCGAGACTGATCTGGCCGATTAAAGCAAAATCGGGGCTGATCCGGCCGACTAAAACAAGATCGGGGCTGATTCGGCCGATTAAAGCAAGATCGGGACTGATCCGGTCGATTCATATCAGAATCTAGTTTTCATGTGAAATGATTATGAGTGTATCTTAATAAGTGTTCGAATATCTGTCCATTATTATCCACACATACTTGAACTCGACGTTCAAAACTGTCAACCGTTGATAAAAGTATATTTCTTGGAATGCTACGGCAGGCAAGAGTTATACGCTCCATCATATTCTCTCTTGTTGTGAGTGTTTTTGAATATACTACGTTTTTCAAATATCCCCATAAAAAGAAATCTAGACTTGACAAGTCTGGAGATCTATGACACCGTGACACTGGTCCACCGCGTCCTATAGTTCTACCTGGGAATGTGAGATCTAAATGGTTTCTAACTCTTCTACTCCAGTTGGCAGGCTCACGATCCTGGTTGAAAGAACCTACGTTGTCTTGTATCCAGATCGATATCTTCAAGCAACACCGGTAATCTTTGTTGTAGAAAGTGTAAATACTTATTACCATTCACATTTTCGTCAAAGAAATAAGGGCCGATAAGGTTTCCGTTTAATATGCCACACCATACAATGAGGCGATGTTGATGATTAACTTCTCTATATCAACGTGGATTTTCAACAGACCCAGAAAATAATGAGAATTATATCGATTTAATTGTCCAGTGTCGTGAAAAGTTGCTTCGTCACTTAATAAAACAAATCTGAAAAATGTTCGATCACGATTTAACATTATTTGTGCCCACCCACAAAATTCTAGTCTTTGTTGAAAATCATTGAGTGTTAATTGTTGTGTCAAAGGGATATGGTAAGGATAGAAGTTATGAGTGGTCAAGATTCTGTGACTTGTTGATTTCGGAATACCTAATTCTCTTTCGACTTGCCTCGTTGACACGCGTGGATTATTAGCTATCATTCCCAATACGGCAAGCAGTGATGCACATTTGGCTCCACAGCAACACGGAATCCAGCCCCACCACTTTTACCCCCACCTACCGGCATCGAGT